GGTCAGCTGGAAGGGCTTTCGCTCCTTCCAGCTGACAAGGAGGGAGGATTCGTAGTTTTAACGGAAGCAGAATTCGGTAGCAAAGCCCTTGAGGCGATCTCATCAGTGTTTAATCGCCGAGATGATGTGTCTCTAAAAAAGCTGAGATTAGAGGCAGTGAGACGATGCAAATTGTTGAACCTTCATCAGCTAGCTCAGAGCATCAATAACAACAAAGATGGAAGCTTGCAAATCATGTTTAGCGCCAAGACCCACAAAGACCAATGTCCCCTGAGGGTCATAGTATCAGAGAGGGGCTCATGGCAGAAGCCGGTCGCGCTTTTCCTCCAAGGCAAATTTAAAGTTTTAGGCTTTAACGATCCATTTTTGGTAAGAAATTCTGACGATATTTTAGATTTTTTAAAAGATAACTCTGACAAAGGATTTTCAGCCTGCTCATTTGACATTAAAGATTTATACTACTCTTTGCCGCACGACAGGTTACTAAAATCCGTAGAACATTGTATCGATCGCTTTGGTACAGTGGCCTTCCAGAATCAAATCGGCATGACGGAAGAGAGTTTTATTGAAATGCTCTCGTTTTATCTTAAATCGACGTTTGTGGAATGGAATGACGGGGTCTATATACAGAAACAAGGGGTATGCATTGGCTCATGTTTGGCACCCATCCTCAGTAACATATTTTTAGCCCATCAGGACAAAGTTCTTTTTGAGCGCTTTAATGAAAGCAACGTTTTTAATGAAATCAAAGTTTTTAGATTTGTGGATGATTTTTTAGTTCTGTTCAAGCATGGGCCTGCAGAATTCCAGCCGAGAGTGGATGACCTCTTTACTGTTTTTAAAAATGTCTTACACCCCCTCATACTAACCCAGGAACTACCAGTAGAGGGTGTGCTGCAGTTCCTTGATATCAGACTAACCTTTTCTGAAAGACATGTGTGTTGGATGTACCACCCTAGAGCCCAGAAACCCCTGTTGCCGTACAATTCAGCTCATTCAAAACTGGTAAAAAGGAGTATTGCCAATATGTGCGTATTGAACGCCCTCAAAAAATCATGCCACCATGTGATGTCAGAAGGCCTGGGCACGCAGTATAGGCGGTTGTTGGCAGCTGGCTTCCCGAAGAATGTAGTGGTCTCAGTTGCAGAGATCGTATTAAAAAGATTGCGTAGTGAAGATCGCCCTTGCCCAATGGTTCTCAGAGATAAACAGAAGGTCGCGGTGATACCGTACATTCACAAAACGGCGCATGGCTTGAAAAAGGTGGCCAATAGATCAAACGTGAAAGTAGTGTTTTCCGCACCAAACAAACTTAGTCGATTATGTAGGATGACAGATCCTTTTTGTAAGGCCCCTTCTGGCTGCGCGGTAAAACACAGGGATCCCTTCGTTGAATGTGCGGAGGGAGTAGTATATCAGATCCCCTTATCATGCGGAAACAAGTATATAGGTCAGACAGGTAGGTGTGTTCAGACTTGTACGTAATCCGTTACAAGTAACGAAATTACTTGTAATCCCTTACATTTATCGGTAATTTAGTAACGGAAAAATTACATATTTTCTAGAGTAATTTTAAAGTAATTCCCTTACAATTTTCACGTAACGGATTCCTTGTAATCCGTTACTTTTTTTCAAGACCAGCTCCCCCCCCCCCCCCCCTTTCTAAAGAAAAGGTTTCTTTCATTTTGGTAAAGTTGAATGCAGTGACACTCACGCGAATTGAACAGCGCAAAGGGGGGCTTGGCCAATACCACCTAGAACACAAGGCCTGCGCGTTTCCTCCTCTAAACGTCATCACTAGTAGATCCCCTCAGCGCCCCCTAGCTAGCCCGGATGAGCAACATCGTCTGCTACATCGTCTGCTCCATCGCCTGCTTCAGTGGTTTGTGTAACAGATAATGAAACAGATGCTCACGCCGAGTGTCTCTTGCAAATAGCATACGCTGAAGTTAGACGTTCACGTGGAGCGTCAAATGCATGAGCGAAATTGCCTTACTGCTGCGCGAAGTGCTGAAAAGCCCTTCGTTGGACGCTGGACGCTGACACTGGACGCCATTTTCGAGGGCGCTGTTTATACCTCGGGTAGCTGCTTCGAAGCGTTCTACCGCAGAACGAGCGCGCGCGCTAGAAATGCGCGTCTCAAAGCCAGGAGCGCGTGCTAGCTCGCGCTCCTGGCCGAGGGAGCGTTCGCGTGCACGTCGCAAATGCACTGGAAGCTCGCTATTAGCTCGCGCTCAGCAGTCACGCACACAGCTGCGGCCGCAAGTGAATGCGACGTAGTTGCGACGCGGCCCCTACTCTCGTCAAGCTTCGGGGTGTTTGCCGCCTGGGGCGGGTCGGGGATCTACTAACGAAACGTCATGCGCAGGCCTTGTCTTCTAGGTGGTATTGGCTTGGCACTCCAGTTCCGCAGTCTTTTTTTGCAACACCAAGCCCCTGCACCTATTTTTTTTTTTCACCCTAACAACGATGCAAAGATCCAAATAAACACTTCTACGAAAAAAAAAAAGGGGGGGGGGGGGGCAAGTTATATTTGCTTTTTTTAGTGCCTGGTTTTTTTCTTTGCGATCGAAGATGGGGAGAGGACACCTAGTGATTGTGTGCCTCTTCGACAAGCTCGAGGCAGTAAGTGCAACCACAAGAATTAACAATGTCCTTCTCGGTTATAGTGACCACGAAAATTTTCATAATGTCACAACACGAGACAACGCTCCGTCTACCCTAAAATTCACTAAAAGAGATGTGATAATATGTGAAGGTGTTATTTTTGTAGTCTAACTTCTAGGGTTGACCCACTTTATTTGTGAACTCCAGGCAGGTTATCTGCATCTCATGGCGAATTCGGGTGGTCAGTTGCCGGCGAGAACGAGCCGGCGGAACCGGCAACCAGAGACGCGCCGGCGGCACACCACGTGACCCTCACCACCCGAACACGAAACGCCAGACGGTGGCAGTTTACTTCGCCTCTTGCCCGCGCGACACCGCTAGCGAGAGCCTGTCGCCGGCGTCACTCATGTCCCAACGACTTGGATTGACTTTCGTAGCGGCTGCTAAAGTTACTTCAGATCAGTTTCCTTCTTTCGTTCATTTTTTTCTCACTGACCTTCTCTCTCATTTCGGAAGTGACGACACCGGATACAGTCTGGCGCCCACTCGCCCGGCCGTTCGGAGCTCGGGCGGAAAAAGCGCCGGAAAGTTGCCGGTGCTTGCCGGAGAACCACCACCCGAATGGTGCGCGCCGGCCGGAAACTGACCACGCGAACACTATTGCCGGTTTTCCGGCAAAATAAGTTGCCGACGATTGACCACGCGAATTCGCCATCAGTCACCCTTTTGTGAGTCAACTTTTCGCGAGCACTTCTAAAATGGTAATAATTTTCCTTTTTTCTTCCTGTTTTTACCCCTGCAATACGCATCTTATCTCAAGCAGATATTTTTACAAATAAAACATAATGATGGCCGACGTAGACTGATATTCTGGGCTGGAGGAGCGAGTGAAACTCGTGAGTGTTTCTTTCATAGTGTGTCTTACTTAGTACTCTACCTTTCGCTGCCCGTGGCATCAGCGGATGTCTATCTGGAGAACATCGGAGTAAACTGCAGTCGGCCCGTGCTCTGCGCGTTTTTGAAAGGCACCAAGAAAGGTACATACAACAAACGTGCGTTTACATTTATTTGTTTTAACCAACGTTCTAATTAATTGTTGTTATGAGTGTCCTGGTTATTTTTTTTCTTGATTACTTATATTTATATATTAGAAACTCTTATTCACCAACGTCTCAACCGAGGCTCGACCTGTTCATAACCAAAGAAAGAAGAATATCGAGGCAAACCTTATTATTTATTTTAATTATCACCTTACTGTTACCAACTCTACTAAAACTTTCGAATATCAGGCAACGGCTGCAAAGATGAAGCCTTGCTCTATCTTTGAGCTAAATAGTACTTCCATTGCTTCACTGAAATAGCTCAATGCAGAGCATTAAATGTTCGTGAGGCACATTATGGTACTCCCATCCAGTGCCTCAGTTCAAAGGGTCTTCAGCGTAGCAGTCGACATCTTCAATAAGAAATGACGGAAAATGTCTGACGAGACTTTCGAGAGACAGCTGTTGCCCAAAATACTCAAGGTCAATAAATGGAGCAGGTGGCAGTAATAAGAACTTGAATAATCCTCTTTCCTTTGTTTCTTAATTGAGGACAAAATGTTGAAAGTAACGCCACGAAAGTAACGGATTACTTTTGGGGGTAACGGCCACTTACTTTTATGAGAGGGTAATTGTAATTGTAATAAATTACAATTTAGCCTTGAGTAATTGTAAATGTAATTCCTTACTATTTTTCAGTAACGTGTACAAGTCTGGGTGTGTTAATGATAGGCTGAGGGAGCACAAACTTAAAATAGGAAATTATCGGGACGGTTATCTGTCTGATCATTGTGAAAGGTGCAAGTGTATGCCGTTGTTTTCCGAGAGCAAGATTCTGGCACGGCACAAGGAAAAAACTGTGAGGGAGATAGTCGAGGCAGATGATATTAAGAAGGGTGGTGCAGCATGTGTCAGCGTGGCCTCAATTGATTTACTGGACAAGGAGCGTGCGTTCCTCAATGACGCGGCCTGGAACCGGGTTGGCTAGTGGTGGAGCAAAATCAGAAACTCGAATGGTATAAAAGTGTCGTTTCACGTAATAAAATCAGTTGTTAGTAGCGCACTGTGCTGTCTGTTTCACGTAATAAAATCAGTTGTTAGTAGCGCACTGTGCTGTCTGTTTCTCGCCTCTTTGTCCCTGTTTTTTGAGCGCTAAAATGTATTCCAAATTCCAAAACCAGCTAGCCCAACAATCTACTCTGCTTTGCAATCGCGAAGTGACAACCGTATCTCCACACCAAGCCAGTGCTAAAACCAAAGACAGATAAGGCGAACCGACATGCCCTTCCAAACCGATCCAACTGAACTTAGGTCTGTCTGTGCTGTGGGCTCACGTTTTCCCGAAATACTTACTGAGCACGTTGTCAATCCCCGGATGCGTCTGGGTTCGGATTGCCTTGCTATTTCCTGTGGTCGGTGTCTTCTTTGTGTGCACTTCTGGACCAGATAATCTTCAAGGGAATACAAAAGCCATGTTTGGAGAAGCCTTCTGGTCACAGCAACACAAACCGAAAAAGAATTTCGGTGACACGACCCTCTAGCCCGACCTAGAGTGCCTTCAAGCAACGGGCACATAAAGGCACCCAGTCTACCGTCAAACGAAAAATGCAGTTGTCAATTCTTCTCCGTTTAAAAAAAAAAAAAAAGCTTTATTTTCTTCGCAAATGCGAGAACTGCTTTCGTTTTTGTTCATTTCCAGGCAAATACGAAAAACATGTCTGAAATATCCAAAAAGTAATTACGATTTTAATTACAATTACCGCCACTAGGGTAATAATTCATTACGTTACTAAATTACCTGCTTCAAAAAGTAATGAGATACATTAAAAATTACTCTCAAAAGTAATATATTTACTGTAATTCAGTTACAGTACTTTTATTGCTGCCACCTCTGGTAGGGACGAGGAGCAGACGAGCAGACGCCACCCGCTTCGCCCGCGCACCCTCGCCGGAAGCCGGAAACGGCGGCAGGCGTCTGCGCCACCTCAGCGCCTTCGCAGCCTTTTGGTGCGTTGCGGCGGATACGAGAACCTTTCATGTAAAGATCGAGGGCGGAACCAGTGCCAGGGGAGAAATTAGACGCAGTCGGCCTCTAGCGGCACTCGTTTGAACCGCCAAGCTGCATTCTCATGGGCCAGCTCCGGGTGACGTGGACGTAATTTAGAGCAGGTCCTGGTCACGACGGCCGCGGTCCCGGAAGCCGCCATTTTCTAACTCTTCTCGTCTTGGCTTTGGTCAAGCTCTCGCGCATCACGAATTTTCCTTAGAGCAGCGCAGACTTTGGGGCAAGTTTCCCCACGCACGCAATTTTCCCAAAAGATAGCCAGCGCAGGCAAAACCTAAATCGCGACTTGAACTCGGCGCTTGTATACAGTGGTGACGAAACAAAACGGTTTTGTTATAGCGTTGATGGTCCTTGCGTACACAATACGCAAGAGCATAGCGTACGCTAGAAATTACCAGGCGGGACCGATTTTAGTTCTGCGTTCAGTAAACGTTGCGGAGTTGATTTTTAGCGTCTTCTTTTTGATTTAATGCCAACGCGCTCCCAGCGTCACCATGCTGCTCAAAAGGAGTAATGAAAATGAAAACGTTTCCTACCCTTTTGGTTCGAATCGATCCAAGTCGCAGCCACCTGATCAACTGCTCTTTTCTGCGGGGTGTGGAGGCTACGAGAAAGAGTACGTAGCGAAATTCAACCTCGGTGCCTCCGTCAATTATTCCGAGGAAACGACACCTCTTATCAATGCTATCGTGGGGAGAAATCCATCGCCTACTATCCTCCGTTTCACGATAATTTGACGAACTCGGGAGACTGCCGCCTCCGCGACACAATAAGAGCGTCGCAGCAAGTCGCGTGATAACAATCCATGATGGAAGCCACGGAGGGCTCCGTACCGCCACAGCAACAGCGCAGTCCGTGACAAAAAGGAGTTCTAGGTTTCTTTTAGAGCGCAGCTCTTAGGCGCCCGTTTCCGGCTTGAGCGGCGTCGCCGTCAGCGTCGGCGTAACCGCGAGTTGCATTATTGGACGTTTCCTTTAATGACGTCATACGTGATGGCACGTGTGACGTCACAAGGGTCACGAGGAAAGAGGAGGAGAAAATCGTTTCTGCTGAATTTAGCGGCAGAAATCCCTCGCTAAATTCAGCGGAAAAATTTCCCAGCAAAATTTACCTTAAAATATTCCCCGCTATGAGTCTATGAGCGGTTCCGTAACTGAGCTAATCTAATAACTTTGCCAGCAGTTGACAGCCGGTTCCTTGGCGCAGTGACATACACGCTCCCGTGACGTGGTGTCACGTGCCTCGCTCCGACGTTCTTATTAGGTCAAGGGGGCTGTAGCCTCTACAGTTCAACAAGTCATCGTAAAACGGAGTATATACTTCGTCTCAACTTAGTATGGACTATTGTTAGCCGCGCGTGATGAAAGCGCGAGCTAGTCGCTTGGAATGAAGTCGTGGCGGATGCACGAGCGCTCGTGCAGCAGGTGCTCGAGTCAAGGCAGTCAAGGCTGGCCGCTCGCGCTAGCACAGCCTTCGCGGTTAGTCCATGCTAGGGTGAGACGAAATATAGTGTACTATGCAACGCGACAACTTCGGCGCTTTTTTGGAGAGTAGTCCGTCCGTCATCGACGAACTGCACGATAAGTTAGGCCTAACGGTGAGCAGAGAGCAGCGCTCGCTCACATTTTGGGCAAACGAAAAATAGCGCCGAAAAAACATAGGGACACGGACGAAGGGAAACCGGACAAGGCACCTTGTCCTATTTCCCTTCGTCTGTGTCCCTGTGCTTTTTTGGCGCTGTTTTTTCGTTTGCAATGAACCAACTGGCCCAAATGTCCACTTTATCGCATTTCGGGCGGTGACAATTTCCACCGTGCACTCCTGCACCTGCTCGGCAATCTCCCTCGACCGAGGTAGGTAGCGGCAAAAATTGCTGAGCTAAACTTTACACAATTTCACGTTACACTGAGTTCTGCGAAAACTACCTTAGACTACGCTGCCCCTGAAATGGACAATACCCATGCTGCTGCCAACCAAAGTAGCCGCCATCTCGAAACTGGTGCTCTCGTTGGACCCGAGGTCTCTCGAGAACTTGTTGCAGGAGTCCCGCGATGCAAAGATATAATCCTTGTGTGCGTACGCAATATTCTAGCGTTTATGTTGCGTTCTGCGCTCGCGAATTTTGAACTTGCAGTTTTCTTACGTACGCGAAACTTTTGCGTATGCTATTCTAAAACTTATTTCACGTACTATATAAAATTCTTGCCAGCTGTCGTCATCATGCCATTCCGAGCCCCCATATTGTTTTTCTTTTTACGTCTTCCAGCTGCGGACGACGCGCATCAGTATGTAACTCGGTTTTCATAACGTCAGGACAATGTATTTTTGCCATCAATGGGCTGCTGTTCAGTTTTGGTTAAAAAAAATAACAAAACAAAAACAGCCGCGAAATTCTGGAGCAGGAATTGACAGCAACGAGGTCTCAAGACTCGATACTCAAGCGGTGAACTGGGACATCTAGATCAGTGAACGATCTTTATCGAAGACTCTGTGTGAATGGTGCGTACTGGACTGGCTGCACGGGATCGTAATTTAGATCTACGACTCCCACTTTGCCGGGAACCTTTTCGCTTGGGCAAAATTATCGGTCGGAAACCCTTCAATATGACGGATATTTGATAATTGATCATTAGTACACTAGATAGCAATTTCCTGTTTTGCATACAGTCTGGTACAAGTTACTTGCCAGGAGCTGTAGAGGAATTCATCAAAAGCCGGAGCATTCTAAAAAAAGTACTTGTAGAAGAGTGCAGGGAACGTGGCTTTAATTGAGTAAGCTTACCTGTCATATGGCCATGCAAAAAAAGAGTCCTTGGGGTTGTTACACAACATTTTTTTGGAAGAAACGCAGTTAGCATAGCGCAGGACTTAGCAGGGTTAACGAGCGGACAGTCGCTTTTCGCACCGTAGGACTGACTTTCTAATTTTCTCTTGTATTTTAAATGAGCTTTCTCGTTTTGGTGTCTGTGTAAATGCAGACATAATGTTTTGGTTTTGGAAACTAAGACAGAGTCGACACTGAATACATGCACTATCGGCAACAATATGAAAGAGAACAATTCATCTTTCTTCTTTCAAGTTTGTCGGCTCCACAACCTTTGCTAAACCTCAACCTTTCGTACGGTATGCAATTTGGGATCTAAACGTTCCGTTTTTGCCTTCGTCGGGACCATAACATGTTCCAAAATTTGCGGGCACGTCAAAAGAACGAGGAAGCCTGTTGGTTTTCATAGTATTGCCTATAGTACATCTGGACAGCACCTATGAGCAACCTGACAACCGATTGATTTATGCTGGGGTTTCATTGTATTACTATATTGAGGAGTTTCAGCGAATATAGGGGGCGGTCCGATCGATCCAACATGGCGGAAAAGAGGGGGATAGATTTGCGACGCCCGTAGACCGGTAGCGTATAAATTAAACAAAGCGTGTCGCTCTCTTTTTGTTGCCGTGTTCGAGACGATCATCGCTTCAACCAAGACATACCGTGATGCTACAAATGAAGTGTTCAAGGCACTCGAAGACAAGAAATCTTGCCATAGTCAAGATATGTGTGCAAGTGTTCGACGTGAGCTCTCACGCTGGTGCAGCTGTCATTAAGTTGAACCGAATGCACGCGGGTTCAAAGAAAGGCACATATCAACAATGTTCGCGCGTTGAAACTATGACGCGTACTTTATCTAAAACTAAACTTATCGGTCTGCGGCTACAAACATTTTCGTTGACGTTGCTTAGATGATGTAACCATTCAGGCCTCGCATTAAACGGTGTTGGGAACCCTTCGGTTGTTCTAGTTAATTGTGCTAAAAGGCGGTTGGATGGAAAGTATGACAACTACCGCATAAAAGGGACGATTGAGGCCTTTATCCTGCGTTCTATGTATTGAAACACTGGCATCCTTGGTGTTATATTGCGATCAGCTGGTCGCCGATCGTCCTGTTTTTACGCATAATGTTAACAAGCCCCGGAAGCGCCAATCTCATTTCGATGTACTTGTGCACCCCTACAAGCCTCCTTTTGGCTCTTATGGAACGCGTTATTGTAATATCAATAATTCTATCGGTCGCTCTAGTTGTATATGGCACGGTGATATCTGCTGTGTGTGATCTGCTGACAAACAAGTCTGTATTAAATGCCACAAGGAGAACAAAGGTAAAGTTTTTTACAACGTTTTTCTTTTTTTTACAAAACAGGGCAAAGCTTCTAAAACAAGAGCAACCTGAGCTGATATTTGAGTGTGCTCAAGAATGAATGGCAAAAGGTGGTTATGCTAAGTCATAGATTTACACAGTTGATTTTCTTTTTGCCTCTGCATTGTAAATTGGAAGAAATGTATCAGCAGAAAACACGTGTCCTTTTAAAAATGTCTTTTATTAGGGCAAAAATAGGTTTTTATACACAACCGAAGAGTTCGCAACACCACTTAATGCAAGGCCTGAATGGTTACATAATCTAAGCAACGTCAACGAAAATGTTTGTAGCCGCAGAC